GACATGTGCTATCTCATTTTATTATGGTAATTCCCACACACATTGCGGAAAAAAGCGCGGCACCATCATTCCGTGAACGCGAAGAAACGCGACGCTTTTATACAGAGACGCTTTTACACACAGAATCTTTTACACATAAACACTTTTACACACAGACGCTTTCACACAGAGACGTTTTTCATGCACACACACACACAGACGCATTTCCACACAGAGACTTTTACACGAAAACACTTTAACACACAGACGCTTTTATACACAGACTCTTTTACACACATACACTTTTACATGCAGATGCCTTTTTACAGACGCACACACACTTTCACACACAAACGCTTTTACACACAGACGCTTTTGCACACAGACACAGACGCTTTTCCACACAGACCCTTTTACACACAGACGCTTTTACACACAAAAACTTTTACACACATACGCTTTTACACACGGACGCTTTTACACAAACACACTTTGACACACAGACGCTTTGACACACAAAAGCCTTTACACACAAACGCTTTTACACACAGACGCTTTTACACACAGACGCAACGCTTTTACACACAGACGCTTTTACACACAAAAGCTTTTACACACAGACGGTTTTACACACAGACGCTTCTACACGCAGATGCGTTTTACACACGCGCACACGCTTTCACACACAAACGCTTTTACACACAGACGCGTTGACACACAAACGCTTTTACACACAGACGCTTTTGCACGCAGATGCTTTTTACACACGCACACACGCTTTCACACACAAACGCTTTTACACACAGACGCTTTTACGCACAGACACTTGTACAGAAACGAAAGCGTCCATCGCAATTTTTCCTCAGTTTTTGACGTCCAACGTCCATTTCGTGCGAAAGGGTTACGATTGACCAAGTAAAATCGCAATTTTTCCTCAGTTTTTGACGTCCAACGTCCATTTCGTGCGTAAGGGTTGCGATTAACTCAAAGTCGCGCTTTTTCCTCAGGTTTTGACGTCCAACGTCCATTTCGTGCGTAAGGGTTGCGATTGACAACTCAAAGTCGCAATTTTTCCTCAGTTTTTGACGTCCAACGTCCATTTCGTGCGTAAGGGTTGCGATTGACACCTCAAAGTCGCAATTTTTCCTCAGTTTTTGACGTCCAACGTCCATTTCGTGCGAAAGGGTTGCGCGCGACACCTCAAAGTCGCAATTTTTCCTCAGTTTTTGACGTCCAACGTCCATTTCATGCGAAAGGGTTGCGCGGGACACCTCAAAGTCGCAATTTTTCCTCAGTTTTTGACGTCCAACGTCCATTTCGTGCGAAAGGGTTGCGCGCGACGGATCAAAGTCGCAACTTTTCCTCAGTTTTTGACGTCCAACGTCCATTTCGTGCGGTTGCCGGGGACGCTTCAAAATCGCAATTTTACCTAGGTTTTGGACGTCCAACGTCCATTTCGTGCGAAAGGGTTGCGTTTCGTGGCGCTCCGGCCGCACCGCCCCCGCCTTAAGAGAGAATAGAAGAAGAGCGAGAGGAGATCTGCAGATGTGAAGGTGTGAAGATGTAGATCTGCAGATGTGAAGGTGTGAAGATGTAGATCTGCAGATGTGAGGGTGTGAAGATCTCGATCTGCAGATGTGAGGGTGTGAAGATCTAGATCTGCAGGTGTCAAGGTGTGAAGATCTAGATCTGCAGATGTGAGGGTGTGAAGATGTAGATCTGCAGGTGTGAGGGTGTGAAGATGTAGATCTTCAGGTGTGAAGGTGTGAAGATCTAGATCTGCAGATGTGAAGGTGTGAAGATCTAGATCTGCAGGTGTGAGGGTGTGAAGATCTAGATCTGCAGGTGTGAGGGTGTGAAGATCTAGATCTGCAGATGTGAGGGTGTGAATATGTAGATCTTCAGGTGTGAAGGTGTGAAGATCTAGTATAACGGCTGCTTTTTTACGAAGAACCCTTCGCAGGCGCTCTCGGGAATAAAAACTGTACAAACTATCCAACCAAGAGTATGCCCCATTTATGGCCAAAATACTCCCAAATATCACCTTCCAAACCAATCAGCCAAAGTTGACGCGGGGACATCACCCTCAAACATGAATAGGATGGCTCTGAATCATGACTCGAATTCGCATCCAATTTTTGGATTTAAGATCAACTTTGTTCTATCCAATATATTGGCTGAGCAGGAAAAGCCAGTGGCTGTTGTAATGGGCACTGGCTACATAAGGGGCAGTACTGGGTATTGTTGTAACCAACCCAGTTGCGGCCACACATAGGGAACTGACTAGGACTGTATGCTTCATAGGCACTTGTGGTAATCTTGGATTAGCCATGCAAAAGGAAACTAAATCACCATACTTGGGTATGAGTCAAACCATTGCTTCACTACCGTCCCAAACCTGAACCACTTACCAGTCAATAGGCTTTCACCCAGTCTGTCCTGGTGATTTCTTCTTACGTTTACGTAAACGAATAGTGTTCACTAAGACCATGGCAATTTAAAGGGAGAGTTCCACTGAAAAGTCACCCACGGGGTGGCGCCAAAATAACTGACACTGATATAAATGTTATGAACCCAACAGTTCGCCGCAAATTTCAACACATTCCAGCTTCGTGTGTCATTTCGTCACCAGCCCAGCGACTGCTGATGTTGTACAGGTCGTTCCTTACAGATGGAGAGACGGCCATCATACATGGCTGCCTAAATTTCAGGGATCCCCAGCTATCCCCAGAAAATATAGCCTAAACATGCCTAAGCTATGGTAATGTACCTCCATTTTAGGATCCTGAAATTCCCATGGGTTTCAGGGAAAATTTTAAGAAAGCCCCATAGAAATATTGGAAAAATCGGTAGTTTCTGGTTAAGATTTTCCAAAGCACCAATCTGAGCATGGCGTGATGAGCATGTAGATTCATATGGTAAACCCAATACTGTAGTAAACATTAATAATCCATCTCCAAGCTCAACATAAGTCAAAACTAGGTGATAAACAAACACCTGGAACCTGAGGCCTATCATATTATGATGTGGTTAGACAAAAAAGGTGTTCATGAATTCACCCAGTTCCCACCACAGATTATCTTGTGAATATTGCCCTGAAATGAACGGTTTGATATGGTTTGTCATAGTACCTTAACCCAGCAATGGGGTCCATTTACTCTCATCAAACATGGCGTGCTGGAAAACCCAACATTTAGTTCGATGTTTTTTCCAGCTGTAAACGGTCATGTATAGAGTATTTCCAATGGTTTTCCAATGGGTTTTCCCATGACATTTTCAAATTTCAAGGGTTTTCCGAGGGGATTTCCTAGCCATGTTTCATTCCCCCTTCGGGCGCAACTTTCCTTAAGAGGTGATCTCCCGGTAACTCGGTGAATTCCATGCTTTGTGGTCAGTCAGAGTTTTGAAACCAACATACCCTCCGGTCATCAAAAAAACAATGGGAAATCCCGATCTTCTGGAACTTTTTCATAGATTTTCATACATTTTTTCAGGGGGGAACTATGGAAAATCATCTATACCCTCTGGTAAACATACGAAAAACTATGGAACATCAGCATTTTTAATCGGAAAACTCACAATAAATGGCCACGTTCAATAGCTATTTTGACATAACCAGAGGGTAAGTGAAGGATGTTCCAGCACGCCATGTTTGATCCCGATCTCCGATCATCTCCCATCTCCGAGCGGCAGCTCCACCAGCACATGAGGCTGCAAGGTCAATGGAGAACATCCCGCATAGTCCACCGTACCTCAGGCAGGAGATCTGCTTGGTGGTTTCAAGGCTGGTGGTTTGATTAACCAGACTTGGTAGTTGCTTAGTTAACCAGCAATCATCATTAATAACCAATTAATAAACAATATTATCTGGCTAATTTAACAGTGTTTTTCATGGTGATCAATGGTGGTGATTAATGGCTGCTAATAGTGATTAGTGGTTAATAATGGTTAATATAGAATGGTTATCTGGTTGGTGGTATGTCTGCCCCTCTGAAAAATGATGGAGTTCGTCAGTTGGGATGACATTCCCAATATATGAAAAAATAATCCAAATGTTCCAAACCACCAACCAGAGATTTGAGGCTTTCACCATAGAGAAAAACAGATGGATTTCTCAGATGGCCAGGTTTGGTTACCCTTTTGTGGCTTATCCCTGTGGATCCATGGCCACTGTCTGAGAAGGTACGGCTAACCCCCTAAATCATACCCCAGTCCCAATTCCTAAGAAGGGACTTGGATCCATACAATGTGGTGCCCCCGTTCGATAGCTAAGTTGGTTTATAACTGCAATTTCACTATGGTTTATGATACGCGAATAACTGTAGTTACTGGTGTTTATAAACCAACTTATTTTCCTGGGGGGCCCCATGGTATGTAGGGTATTTTAAGAATGGCCCATTTTCCATTTTAAGTAATTTCATTGAATCACAATTTTTGTTGGTTAAACTATGTTAAACTCACATTTTCCCAACCAGAAAAATCACATTTCCCCAACCAGATGAGGAGCCATAGCAAATCCACCAGAAATAAACCCACCATCCGGTGCCATTGGGTTTCCGCACTTGGATCCGGACCATCCACAGGTGCCTCTGCACACTCCCTGGAGTGATTTTGTGACAAGGCCGTGGTCTCAAAAATGGAGAAAGTTGGGATTTCACCAACAAAACGGTGATTTAATGGTGGTTTAAGTCAGACGGGATATGCAGCAATTTGTCAATTTTTTGGAAATTAATTTGCATTTTTTTTTCCTAAAATACATTCTCTTTGGGTCAAATCCCTGACTGCGCAGCAACCCCTCATGTTGCAACAGTATGTCGCGGAAGTTCTTGTCCCTGTTGAACACTTGAAGGAGCCCGGCCTCTACTTAGATGGGCCATGGAGTTAGTTAACTAGTTAGTAAATGGATTATTTATTTCATTGGGATTGTTTGGGGGTAAAGAATCCCCAGTTACTAACCAGGAATCGCGTTTTTCCCATGGCCCATCTAAGGTTCCGCATTTCTCCCAGTTTTAGAGGTACTGGCCAGCAGAGGCACCAAAATTAATTCCATTTCCGCCAACGAATTGCTGCCAATGCTTGGGTTCATCTTTATTTAGGTAGGTGGCACTCCAGTGAGCCGCTTGCTGTCAACAATCTTGAAGCAGTCATCAGAGCGAGGCATCGAGGCATCGGCTTGGACTCCTTCTCCAAGCCAGGTAATGTAGCTGCATGTCCTACACCAGGAATCTTCACAGGTGGGGTCTCAGCAGCTTCGCTCAAACAGCCTGGAACTGCGCAACGGTGAATTCAATCAACAAAAAAAGCTTCATTTGCCTCGTAGCCAGAGGTTATGTCTAAGCCTAAACAACTATTAGTTTTACCCTCTGGTGTCAGGCACTAAATGGAGCTTTGATTGCTGCGAACCATCTATAAATGGAGAACTTTCCATTATAACTTTATCATGGCCCAGATTATAGTAATTGATCAAACATTGAATCCGAGAGGTACAATGTGGGGTCCCCAGTTATAAAATGGTTTATAAACACCAATGAGTATAGTTATTTGGGTACCATAAACCATAGTGAAGTTGGAGTTATGTTCACTAACTTAGCTATCGTCAACAGGTGCCCCAGGACTTGTATGACCAGCTTCAGGGCTTCCCAAAACTGATTTCATCACAGCCATAAGCGGCTTGGGCCCCCTTTAAGATCCCATAATATGTCGCCAGATTCTCTACCATTTCCTAAGCATTTTGGGGAAACCAGAAGCGATTCTCTGTCGGCTGGTCCAGCCTGGAGTCCAGCCCTATCGAAATTTCGTCAACTGACCAACAAAAACTGGCTGGTTCACCGGAATTTTCATCACCAATCAGCCAGATAGCCTGCAAAAAATGACCCAAATTCTGCACGCTGGTGAACGTAGATATTCCCAGCCAGATATCAAAAGACTAGTTAGGACTAGTTCCTACCCATAGTTTCTACCCATCTAAGATTGACCTAGATATGTCCACAATATTCCCATGATCTTCCCATGTTTGTTGGTTAACTGCTCCATATAATGGCTGTAGATCCCATCTAAGATTGACCTAGTCATGGTCAGTTTTCATATTTTGTTGGTTAAACCACCATTTTTCCCTAGGTGCCCACGGTCACAGGCTTGGCAGACGTAGTGAAGCCCTTCGTTTAAGCTAAACTGGCTGGACGAACGTTTTCATAGGGTTTTATGGTGGGTTGATGGTAGCTATCTCTGTAAGTTAAGTTATAAATCAACAAACCACACCGATTCATCCGATTCTAGATTAATTTATATACGTTCATCCATCATACAAATGTCACCACAAATATAAGCTATACAAATGGTGTCCCCAACAGTTATAAGTTGGTTTATAACCCCCATGGTAGTTCCAGACATGTATCATAAACCCAACGAAATTGGAGTGACGAAAAGATGATTCCGTCGCAATTCCGGAGTTAAAGTACCACCTTGTAGCCAAATGAAGACCAACAAATCTCTGAGCATCCGCACGAAAGCAGCTCATAGCCTGTGGCTGTCAGAGCCTTCGTGCACGGTGAAAATGGCCGTGGGATTGGGATGGGATTGGGCAACAATGGCAATGGAAATGAAGAATTCCCCATGGTAAATGTCACTATATTGAAGATGTTCCCATTCAAATGCCAAGGTGTTTTTGGGGAAATTCCCAGCTAGCCAAATTTGATGACAGCGGAGAGTAACCCTCAAAATTACTATTTTCCTTATCTACGAGTATCAGGTGGTTAGGAAACTCGATGAAGGTAGCTCCAACTGGCTGCCTCCTGACCAGAAATTTTCGTTTCAAAGTGAGGCCCCCCAATGATGTTTCCCTGGTGCTCCAGTTATACGCCCTGAGAAGTTGTAAACAGACCTCCAACAAAAACTCCTTGTATACAGTCTCAGTCTCGGTGTTTGGAGCTGTAGGCTTTGTTGGTTTCTTCACCAAATACCCTTTGGTAAACTAACATAGCTCACTGGAAAAATCCACCATGCTATTAATGGGTAAATCCACTATTTCTATGTCGCTTTTCTATGTCGCAAACTGTAAACGTTTACCAGAGGGCAACTATGCTGATATTCCCCCCGAATCAACCCAAGAGTTCACCTTGTGATCCAGATTGTGCGGCTCCCCAGTGATGTGAAGGGTGCTTTACAACTCTAATAGCTATAGATATATCATGATCACACTTCAATGCATGGTTTATTTCATGGAAAATCCCAAAAAGAACATGGATGATAACTACCATGTTGGGCCCCCAAACGTATAAATTAGTCTATATTCCCTATGAATACTATGGATATGTGCGTACCATAAACCATAGTTAACCTAGTTATAAAGCAACTTAACTATCTACAGGGCCCCACTTTGTACAGATATATCATGATGTATCCCCCTACTTCATCGAACAGTTATCATAGTGAACCAAACCAACTTAGCTAAGTATCAATCCCTTTGAGTCGCATGATATCCCAGTTTATGTTGCTTAATTCAACATATGTTCCGTTCTCGCTTTGGGGGGCCCACATTGCTAGTACGTGTTAAGGTAAATCCACCATTCCTTCGATCCATTCCTTCGAAAAAAAAAAACACAGAATCTCAAAACATATCTAGCTGGGTACTCAGGGAGATCATCAATGTGGTTAAAGCAACGATAAACTAACCATCCCCAAAATCTCAATTTTTCTGGTGGGTATAAACCATCAAATATATGGTGGTTTATGGCATTGTCCTACTAACATTAGATTGCTTGGTGCTTTCAACACTGAGAAATGACAAAGTCATTCGGGTTATCTGATTATAATATCACATATTGGGTTATCTGAGTTATCCTGGTTGGTGGTTTGAACCCCTCTGAAGGTATGAAAGTCACTTGGGATCATTATTTCCAATATGATTGAAAATAATCCATTCATGTTCCGCAACACCAACCAGTCACATATTGGGTCATCTGAGTTCTCAAGTTGCCCTCCGGTAAATCAACATAGCTATTGAACATTGCCCATTTGTAGTTGCTTTACCCATTAATAACATGGTGGATCTTTCCATAGTTTTTCGTATGTTTACCAGGCCGGGTATCATCCTTCCCCCCATGAGTTTCTTGACCATTCCTTCGACCCATTCGACCAAAGGACGGCTCCGGGGTTGCTGGTGAGGTCAATATCCGGACAGTAGTCTGTTGCATGTCGACCTCGGCAGCGCCCGGATAAAATGATGATTTACCCTCTGGTTATGACATGTTATGACTAACATAGCCATGGAAAATGATCCGTTTATAGTGGATTTACCCATTGAAATTGAAGACCAACCATCCTCTGTCAACCATATACTCCCATACCAGAAAGCCAGCGACATCGATGAATTCGTTCAAATCAAAGAAAGACATCACAACCCGATCAAGATGATCTTTTGAGTTTTTCATGGAATGATCGTCGGCAAGCAGGGGATTGCAGCTCATGAAATTCCCCGTTGCTTTGCTATCGCACGGCAAAAGCTCAATAAGCATCTGCAAGTGTTTCAATCTCCTCATTTTCGAATCCACAACCCACATCACTTCGGTCAACTGATCTTCAGGAGCAAGAATGGACACTTTTGGACACATTATAGTGCTCCACCTCGTTTGTACATCAATTCAAATGCTTGATGTCGCCTTTGTCGCACATCTTGGTGACCACACAATGCCATGTCAATCAGCTGATCGTCCCCTCCGAAATTGAAATCCAAGGCTTCCAACATCATGGAATAGAATGGTAATTCCGTCTCAGATATGTTCTCTTCAACTTCTGGCGAAGATTTGGTATCCTTTCTCTCTTCTTGAGATGGGTGGGCACTGTTTCCTTTCTGACGACTCCAGGGAGGTGACTGAGATTTTTCTAAATTGGCAAAGATAATTGTTGCTGCTTTGCTAGTGTCCTCCGAGTAAATTTTTGCTGATCCAGACGGAGATTCGGATTGGGATTGACAAACAATAGGCAAAGAGCTTGCTAGCTAAGTTGGTGACCATAACTCCAGTAACTATGATTTATGGTACTTATAACTATAGTTAATGGGGCTTATAAATCAATTTATGACTAGGGGGCCCCACATTGTCGGTGGATCGCTTTTTTCATGGCTGGTAACCTGACTAGCAGAGCTACGCTGGTGTAAACATCAATCATTATGGAGGCACAGCTTGATATACCAGTAGTACCGCACAAGGCGGTGGCGGAAGTTTCAAAAATAGAAAACCGAGAGATTGGTTGTTGTGAATCACGGGTGGCAAAGCGAATCCGCTGATGGACCGAAAGGTGCTTGAGGTCTCCTCTCTTTCACTCTCTTTCTCTGACTATATACCTACCTACCCACCTACCAACCTATCTATCTATCTATCGATCGGTCTACCTGTCTATCTCTCTATCTGTCTATCTGTCTATCTGTCTATCTGTCTATCTATCTATCTATCTGTCTATCTATCTATCTATCTGTCTATCTATCTATCTATCTGTCTATATTTCTATCTATCTGTCTATGCATCTATCTATCTATCTATCTATCTATCTGTCTACCTGTCTATCTGTCTACTTGTCTCTCTCTTTCTATCTATCTATCTGTCTATATGTCTATCTATCTGTCTATGCATCTATCTGTCTATTTATCTATATATCTTGGTATCTAACTATCTGTCTATGTTTTCTATGTATCTATCTGTCTATCTATCTATCTATCTATTTATCTAGCTGTCTCTCTATCTATTTGTCTACCTGTCTATCTGTCCATCTTTCTATGTATCTATCTATCTTTCTATCTATCTATCTGTCTAGCCACCTATGTATCTATCTATCTTTCTTTCTTTCTATCTATCTATCTGTCTAGCCATCTATCTATATCTATATCTATATCTCCGACTATCTATCGATACAACTGTCTCTCTATCTATCTGTCTATCTGTCTATCTATCTGTCTATGTATCTATCTATCTATTTATCTATCTATCTTGGTATCTAACTATCTGTCAATGTGTCTGTGCATCTGTCTGTCTATCTATTTATCTATCTATCTATCTATCTAGCTGTCTCTCTATCTATTTGTCTATCTGTCTATCTGTCCATCTATCTATCTATCTGTCTATCTGTCTATCTGTCCATCTATCTATCTATCTACCTACCTACCTACCTATCTATCTATCTATCTGTCTAGCCATCTATCTATTTATCTATCTATCGATCGATCGATCAATCGATGGATCGATCGGTCTATCGATCTATCGATCTATCGATCTATCGATCTATCGATCTATCGATCTATCTATCTATCTCTCTCTCTCTCTATCTCTCTATCTCTCTATCTCTCTTTCTGTCTATCTATCTCTATCTCTCTATCTCTCTATCTCTCTGTCTGTCTGTCTATCTATCTATCGATCTATCTACAGTATCTAGCCATCTATCTATTTATCTATCTATCTGCAAGATCAAAAACGAAGAAATTCTGCGAGACTTCCTTAATGTTTGAGCATAAGAACGTCCAAAACGAAACAATTCTGCGAGACGTCTTCATTTTTTGAACTTGACAACATCCAAAACATGGAAAGTTGAGTGCAGAGCTGACAGCGTCGTACCAATGTGTTTTGGGATTTTTCCAGTCCACCTGTCTAAAGTACTGCGCCTGCCTCGAAAAATTGATGCCAGGTCATACAAAGTGCTGCACCTGTCACGCAAAATCACCTTAGCAAACCTGCACATCTGATACTCCAAAATGCAACCCCTCTCAGGAAATCAGCGCCCTGACCTCCTAACATCTCTCATGAACATGTCTTTTGTATTGCGCCTGCCACGGAAAATGCATCTTTGCAGATCCTCTTCAAATGTCCCATGCCTATCATCGTTTTTGGAAATGCCACAAAACCATCACGTTTTGCTCACTTTTGAAGAGGTGCACAATCCCTTGCGCCTGCCATGCGAAACGACATCTGAACCTCCAAAAGTGGTCCGGGTCCGAACCCCTCGTGTTTTTAACAATTTGACTTCGAAATGTGCTTCGCGCCACAACGGTGTGCACTTTTTTTGACATCTCAACTTCCAAAAGTGGTGCGAGGCTGAAGTGTTTTGTACAATTTGACTTCGAAATGTGCTTCGTGCCACAACGGTGTGCACCTTTTCGACATCTCAACTTCCAAAAGCGGTGCGACACTGATGTGCTTTGTACATTTTGACTTCGAAATTTGCTTCACGCCACAACAGCGTGCACTTTTTCGACATCTCAACTTCCAAAAGTGGTCCGACGCTGAGGTGTTTTGTACATTTTTTCACTTGGAAATGTGCTTCGCGCCACAACGGCGTGCAATTTTTCATCTCTCATCTGGCCAGCTGGCTCCGCACCCGCCGCTTTAGCGAGCCTACTTTTCGACCCTCCGGAGCCCAAATCATTGGAAAAACACAGTGTTTCGCGACTTTCCTACCTTTTCGCGCATCTGCATCTGCTTTCTTCTGACTCTTTCTCTTCTCTGATCTTCTCTCTTCTACTCTCCTCTTCTCTCTGCCTCTGCCCAGCTCTGCTTTTCATCTGTCCATATTGTCGGAAGTTTGACTTCTAAACTTCCTTCGATTAAAGGTATCAGTGTCAGGTGACCCCCCAAACAATCCTTGGCTTGGGCTTAAAGCCAGTGATCTTTAGCATGTGGCTTAGCGTTTGTGAATCTTTAGTGAGCGGAATCTTTAGGATTTCGTTCAGCACGTGAATTTACATTTGCCAAGGACTGTTTATTGGAACTCCTGCAGAGTAGTGATGTTGGAAATGGTACCACATACCCTCTGGTATTTTAACATAGCTATGTAAAATGGCCCAATTTTAGTTGAAATACCTATTAAAAATGGTGATTTTCCAGTTCGCTATGTTAATTTACCAGAGGGTATCTATACCAGAAACCCAGGAAACACCTAAAAACACAAGGGCGGTAACAATCCTAAAAACGGCGCCCCGCACCTGCAAGTCGGTTTATCAACAGTATTAGTATGTAGACAAAACTAGCATAAGCATCAACCCTAGGTAACCTACTTGTAGCACACCTTAGCTGTCTATGGAGCACCAGTGTATCCGGTTGGTGTTTTGGTGGGTGGCATGATAGAAGGAATTCAAGGAGTTGTTGGCATTTACCTAGCAACCTACCCACAAGATTCTACCATGTTTCCGGAAAAGAGTGGTACGGGTAAGGACAAACACGAAACATCTGTGGTTCTACTGGTCATGTAGGATGATTGGTGCTTTCAACACATCAATAGCAAAGTCATTCAGGCTCGGAAAATAACATAGATGGCTATGGATCAATACCTATACATGCCGTCTGAGAGGGAGATGAACAGCCACTTACCAACTATTGTGATGTTCACCAAAGGTACTGGGTTTTGAATGTTTTGACCCATCCCAATATTTCACACCAACCAGAAATTCACATTGCGTGACCACCGTGACCACCGTGACCACCATTGCCAACGGGTCGTCACGGTCAAGCGACAGCAGCGGAAGGGCGTGGCCAGAATTTGGGTTCCATACTTCAGCCTCACGAGATTCGACATCGCATTCGACACATTGGAAGACAGACCCATCAGAAAAATACCCATGTCAGTAAAATGCTGAGTTCCAAGAACTTATAGTGGATTATTAAATTGGATTATTACTGGAATATATAATATGGTAAAACATTGGTTGGTGGTATACCTACCCCTCTGAAAAATATGAGTTCGTCAGTTGGGAGTATTATTCCCCACTCAATCGAAAAATAATCCAAATGTTCCAAACCACCAACCAGCCATAATTTAGATAATGTGCTGGCATTGTTTACCATTTTTTGGGGGACTTGCATTTTTACTGTTTTTTGGGGAACAAAAAGAATGTGTCTAGGTACACAGAGACTTTATATTTTTGGTCAACAAATTTCAGAACTGGGAAACTGGACGATGTGTTTTTTTCTGCCCTAAGAATCCATTGTCGAAAGTATCGAGCAAAATCATCACCCAGCTCGAAAACAGATGATTTCATGAATACCGTTCTGCAAGATTTTGTTGCATAGCTATTGTATACTTGGATTTGCTGATTCGGGGTCCCCCCAAAAAATAAAACACATCTTCCCTTAATCGATTCCCAGTCATGGTGCTTTCCATTGGGAAAATAAATAATCACCGACAAAACAAACCCAGGTATAGTACGTCCCACTGAGTTTAATGATTTACCTATTAAAAAATGTGATTTTCCAGTTCTCACACGGTTAAATTATCAATGGATACCACAAATCATCAATGGCGTGGGCCAAGATCGGACAGGATATGATGTGCAATTGAAAAAAAATAGCAAGCGATACTGGGACAAACATGGTTATGGGTTCATAAGTCATGGTTTTCGTTATTGGTGCAAAACAGGGTGAAGTTAGCTAAGTTGGTTAAGCATACATGGTTATGGGTCAAAACCCTGGTGCCCAAATGGTACCCACAGTCATAGCTGGTATAGCTGGAGAAGTTGGTACCCCAAAATCTGATCATTACAGTGGGTGCCCCAATCCGTTTGCGAAGTTGGTGAAGAGCTCACTCCAATTTCAAACTTGGGTTTATGAAGGATAGAACTTGAGTTACCCTCTGGTAATTTAACATCGCCATGGAAAATGGTCCATTTATAGGTGGTTTACCCATTGAAAATGGTGATTTTCCATAGTTTTTTGTATGTTTACCAGAGGGTAATAAGCACGATACCATCACTGGAGTGGACCACCCGCAATGGACATGGCCAAAGTTGCGGGTTCTTTTTCAAGGATGGGAAAAGGTACCGATCACCAAGCAGCCAAATTCCATGTCCGTCCGTCGGCTCTATATGCCCAAGTTGTCTGGCTCATGTATCAATCCGGTTAACCCGGTTTACCCTCCAGTGATCAAACATGGCGTGCTGGTGAATCCATAATTGAATTCTTTGGACGAATCCCCGACTGATTATCACATGCGGTGGTTCCCCAATAGTTGTGATGTTTAACAGTAATAATGGTGGTTTGATGGAGTGAATCCGATTTAGTGGGATTTGATTGGTTTTGACTAGCTAAGTTGGTTTATAGCTCCAAGGACTAGGGTTTATGATACATATATCATACATCTATAGTTAGCGGGGGCTACAAACCAACAAACATAACTGGGGGCACCTCACCGCCTTGTAGTATACTTGAGAGTGAAGTTGGTTATAAATCCTCATAAGTTGGGGTATGGCCTTTAAAACTATGCGAAGTGAGGTCGCCAAACGATAGCTAAGTTGGTGAACATAACTCCAATAACTTGGTTTATGATACCTGGTTGGTGGTTTTAACCATCTTGAAAAATATGAGTTCGTCAATCGGAAGGATAACATCCCATATATGATGGAGAAAAACTGTTTGAAACCACCAACCAGGTCCTTATTACTATAGCTAATAGGGGTTATAAACCAATTTATAACTAGGTGGCCCCATATTGTAGTTATCTATCCACTTATAACTGGAGCTGCACTTTAAAGTACCACCCCTGCGGCCAAGAACTCCTTGTCTTGGTAGTTGGCCTCTGCGGCCAATGCTCTGAGTTCTTCTGCGCTTTTCTTTGCACTTCTCTGCGTCAATTAGAGCTTTTGCCCACTTAGATGGGCCATGGGATTAGCTAAATGGTTAGTAGCTGGGGATTCAACTTACCCCCAAACAATCCCAATGAAATAATCCATGGCTACTAACTAGTTTTCCCTAACTCCATGGCCCATCTAAGTAGACATAACCAGCTTCTTCTCCTCATCCCTTTCAAACAAATCATGGAGCTCGCCCAAGGGCTCTCCATAGCTGACGGAGGTGGATGGACCATCTCACCGGTACAATCGATGCTTTGCGGCATGGCTTTTCGCACCAAAAGGGATGGGGCCATTTAGGAATGATCAGTAAACCCCATTAAACCCCATTAAATCCCACTAAATCCCACTAAATCCCGTTAAATCCCATTAAATCCCATTAAAGCCCATTAAATCATTATTCTTTGGACCTATACCACCATTGAATCACCAAAATTACTTTGCTACTGGGATCAAACCACCATTTAATCCCATTAAAGCCCATTAACCATTAAACCACCATTTGATTTCTTATGTTGGGGATCACTTGTGTATATGTATATATTATATGTATATATATATAAATATGTGTAGTATATATATATATATATATTTGTCCTGGATTATCCTGGCATGTATCATGACTGGAAAAATATGTCTTGCACCAAGCATGATACCGAAGATGATTTGACAATACCTTTGGAGCATACCCCAACTCCCTCCAACACCCTGAATGAAAGGAATCCTTTCATGGAGGCCTGTTGGATTCACCAACCATGATACTATTGTCGGAAACCATGATACCCTTTGGTAAACATACAAAAGAATACTTTACTTCGTGTGATCCGCACCATGACATTTATACATGTTCTTACTGAAACATCTTCTGGCATTCTATCTGACATATCTTCTGGCATTCTATCTGGCAAATCTTCTGGCATTCTATCTGGCATATCTTCTGGCATTCTGACATATCTTCTGGCAAATCTTCTGGCATTCTATCTGGCATATCTTCTGGCATATCTGACATATCTGACATTCTATCTGGCATATCTTCTGGCATATCTGGCATATATCTTATCTGGCATTCTATCTGGCATTCTATCTGGCATCTTCTGGCATTCTATCTGGCATATCTTCTGGCATTCTATCTGACATATCTTCTGGCATTCTATCTGGCATATCTTCTGGATCTGACATATCTTCTGGCATTCTGGCATCTGACATACATATCTTCTGGCATATATCTGACATATCTTCTGGCATATCTTCTGGCATATCTTCTGGCATATCTATCTGGCATATCTTCTGGCATATTTTCTGGCATTCTATCTGGCAAATCTTCTGGCATTCTATCTGGCATATCTTCTGCATATGGCATTCTATCTGGCATATCTTCTGGCATATCTATCTGACATATCTTCTGGCATTCTATCTGGCATTCTATCTGGCATTCTATCTGGCATATCTTCTGGCATATTTCTGGCATTCTACTGGCATTCTTCTGGCACTCTTCTGACATTTTATCTTCCTACATGAGGTCCGGCAGGGAACACTTGGCGTGGATACTCGCGGGTTGAGGTCCGGCAGGGAACACTGGGCGTGGATGGTCGTGGTTGAGGTCCGGCAGGGAACACTGGGCGTGGATGGTCGTGGTTGAGGTCCGGCAGAGAGGGACACTGGGCGTGGATGGTCGTGGTTGAGGTCCGGCAGAGAACACTGTGGATCGCGAGTCGCAGTTGAGCAGGAGGACGAGGAGGACAACGAGACGAGGAGGACAACGAGAGGAGGAGGACAACGAGAGGAGGAGGACGACGAGAGGAGGAGGAGAGGAGGAGAGGAGGAGGAGGAGGAGGAGAAGGCAACTTAGATAAAATCTAACAACCCTCACCTGGCAGGTGGGGAACTATGGAAAACCACCATGCTATTTATGGAAAAACTCACTATTTCTATGGCCATTTTCAATAGCTATTTTAAATTACCAGAGGGTAGTTGGAAAAACATGTCTGGACGGTGCGGATTGACTCGCACCAGGAACTAGATTTTCCTTCCTGTAGGGTATTCTTTCTGTCGATTATTGAGTTCAAATCGGGATGATTTCCAATTATCATGGTGAGCCTTAGATACCTGCCAAAAAAACAAATTCTTAGGTGGTTGGTACATTTTACCCATCGATAGCAACAGGTTAATGTACTCAAGTATCTAACCAAGGTTGACCCATATACATATACCTCATACACCAATGATATTCCTGAAAAATCGCTGTTATACCAGCATTTCACTTTTGTGGATGCCCTGTGGGACCCCCATTCGTGTACCCCTATGCCAGCGAGGAGCCACGTCCCTTGACTGGTGCAAATGATGTGATCATCGCCATCAAAGGATGCATATCCAGGGTCACATTTGAAGAAGACCTGCGCTGCTCGCAGCTGGAACGCAGCTGGAACGGATCGGTGGATCATCCCCGACCCATCCGAAGCTGCGAGATGTGTTTTCTCGCCTACCCCTCTAACAAAAATGATGGAGTGAAAGTCAAATGGGAGTATGACATTCCCAATATGATGGGAAAAATAGAACATGTTCCAAACCACCAACCAGGTAGTTAGTTCACCCCAGTTTGGTCAGTGGGACAAGTACGGCAACTACATTTTAAATATACGGATTCTAAAATATACGAACAGGTATTTTAGACTACCTCCTGGGCCTCGCGATCTGGCCCGGCCTCCGCATATTTAAATGTCGTCACCGTAGGGTTAATCCACTGAGAACTGGGGTGAACTAACCTACTGAGTGGGGTGAACCAAGTATGAGTCCCAATTTTCGCGTGGGGATCGCCAGGGCAGATGCTCCATGGTCCCCCCCACATCCCCTGGGGGTGAAATGGAAGAACACCTGTGCCATACGGTCAGGGCAAATGATAAACTTCCGAAGGATTGTTGGGACCCTTGATGAAGACACTTGCTGCAGTACACAGCTGGGGTTTTGTTCTGGGGTGTTGTATTGCCACATTCGTCCAATGTAGAACCCAATTCACCTTGGGATATTCAAAATATCACAAGATTATGATATGTAGATATGTGGAGGTTTCCTAAAATGGGGGTACCCCTAGTTATCATCCATGTTAGAAGCATTTTCCATGAAATAAACCATCCAGCTATTGGGGATCCCCAATGTATGGAAACCTCCATGTATATTCTATACGTTTTTGTGCTGGGCTGAAAGCATGGTCTACGCTTCTCATGCATCCCAAGGCATGGCAAGGCCAGCATTGGAATAGGAGACATCAGAGGCGTGGAATCGCCCAGCCGTGAAGAAAGAAAGCGCCCAGCTTTGCCAATGGAACAAACAACATCTACGACGTCTACGAGGTAAAGCTCCCGTTGGTAAAGTTGGTTTATAACATGTTATAACCAGCTTAACTGTTGGGTTGGTTGTGATAAAAGCTGTATCAGAGCTGGACAGGCATGTGCAGGACAGCTTCATATACTCTTCCTAAATGACATCAACATCCGCAAGGACAACGAAACCTAAGATCTCTAAGCCCATAATTTGGTTTCTCTAGATGCTGAGATGTGGCAAGTAATCCCTTCCCCCTAATGCTAAATATCCGCCAACCGAAACCTCTTCATTCATGAGGCCATATAGACAGTATATAAACGGTATTGAATAATCCAGTCCCCTATTGTTCGTCCCAGAAAACAGAAAACTCGGGCCCATTACCAATTTTGCAAAAAAGTAGGATGGTCGATGTGATTCTTAGTCAATTTTCTTTAGACAACAATTTAAAGAGCAAGATCCCATTGACGGTTACATCCCGTAAAAATAAAAATACTTTACTTCGAGTTATCCCCACCATGACATCTATACGTTATGTTACTGGCAAATCTCCTGGCATTCTATCTGACATATCTTCTGGCATTTTATCTGGCATATCTTCTGGCATATCTTCTGGCATATTTTCTGGCATTCTACCTGGCATATCTTCTGCAATATGTTCTGGCATATCTTCTGGCACTCTATCTGGCATTTCTTCTGGTATATCTTCTGACATTCTATCTGGCATTCTATCTGGCAAATTTTCTGGCATATGTTCTGGCAAACATTCTGGAACTTTATCTGGCATAGCTTGTGGCATACCTTCTGGCATTCTATCTGGCATATCTTCTGGCATTTTATCTGGCATATCTTCTGGCATTCTATCTGGCATATCTTCTGGCATTCTACCTGGCATATCTTCTGGCATATGTTTTGGCATATGTTCTTGCACTCTATCTGGCATATCTTCTGGCATTCTATCTGGCAAACATTCTGGCCCTTTATCAGGCATATCTTCTGGCATTCTTTCTGACATTCTATCTGGCGTTCTATCTGGCATATCTTCTGGCAATCTATCTGACATTCTATCTGGCATACCTTCTGGCATTCTATCTGGCATATCTTCTGGCATTCTATCTGGCAAACATTCTGGCCCTTTATCAGGCATATCTTCTGGCATTCTTTCTGACATTCTATCTGGCGTTCTATCTGGCATATCTTCTGGCAATCTATCTGGCCGTTGAGTTCCAGCGGTGCTCACTCGGAGGGTCCCAGGTTGAGGTCCAGCGGTGCTCACTGAGCTCGGATGGTCCCAGGTTGAGGTCCAGCGGTGCTCACTGAGCTCGGACGGTCCCAGGTTGAGGTCCAGCGGTGCTCACTGAGCTCGGAAGGTCCCAGGTTGAGGTCCAGCGGTGCCCAGTGCGCTCAGACCCTTGCAGTTGAGGTCCAGCAGTGCCCACTGCGTGCGGAAGTTGGCGAAGAGCTTGGCGAAGAGTTGGCAAGGAAGTGAACATGGAAGCGGAGGCAGAGGTGGCGGAGGAGAAGGAGGAGGAGGAGAAGAAGGAGAAGAACAACTCTGATAAATCTAACAACCCTCACCTGGCAGGTGGGGAACTAACAGGTTGCATGTGGGGAATGGGGTCCCTGAGTCCCTGGCGATATCTTGTTTATTCCAGGTTGCTTTTATTCGGGGAAAGCTTCAACATCATCCAATGTTTGGCAATATATTTGATCTTTGGCAATAGTCCAATTAGATTTTAGAAAGGGATTTGATCGATATTGACACAGAAAAAAACACATGTTTCATCATGTTTTAATATCTTAGGTCAAGGTTCTAATTTGATTATTAGGGGGAAGCTTGGCAGCCTAACACTAAATGCGCCCTAATATAATAAAAGATATTCCAGGTGTTTTTTTTTAATAGGACGGGCTTAGTATTAGGGGTAAGGGATTTCTACTTGCTACGTAAGGAGATGGCATTAACCATGCTAACTTATTGTTTACCGGATTAACATCTGGTTATTTGACATAGCCATGGAAAATCCCTCATAAATGGAGGTTTTAATTGGAACATAATCTATAAATGGGTCATTTTCCATGGCTATGTTAAATAGCCAGAGGGTAACATCTATTAAGCACAATTTCCCCATGGTCGCGGAGAAGAAACCTTCTTGAAGGCTACCTCCATTTCTTCCTTTACTCAAGGTCTGCTATAGATGCCTCCAAGCAGCTCATTATTGAGGTCCAAGATTGATACAAGTCATATTCTGATAATCTTGGTGCATTCCCACAATGTGGCCCCCGTAGTTATAAATTGGTTAATAAGCCCTATGAATACCATAGTTATTTGCGTATCATACACCATAGTTATTTGACTTATGTTCACCAACTGAACGCTATCGACCGGGGGCACCACCTTGTAAAGCCGCTTTATGGATTGCCATCATTGAACTCCCATAGCTACGGCCTACCTCCCTTATTGAAATGCCCGAATATGACTGGACATGACATGAATCATGACATGAAATCATAACTCCCAACATCCCATTGTTACAAGGATGGTAAAATTGTCATAGGAATAAAGAGTAAAATGATCATGTTTTTTCCCCTTGAGGATATAATTATACCTATCATAGGTTGGAGCACTGCCATTTGACCATCCCAAAAATATAGGTACCCGTAATTTAACATAGCTATTGAAAATGGCCGTTTATAGTTAATTTACCCATTAATAGCATGGTGATTTTCCATAGTTATGTTAGTTTACCAGAGGGTAATTATACAATTCAAGATCACATCTTTGGTCATACATACCATGTTTCCATGATATTGAACTGCATCTGAATTAAATCACCATGGCAGAGATTTTACAAAGTCCAACTTTTGCCGCCACATTTACATACGTCATTTGTGCATAATGAATCCTTTATCAGATACCCTCTGGTAAACTAGCAGCATAACTATGGAAAATCACCATGCTATAAATGGGTAAATTAACTATAAATGGCAATTTTCAATAGCTATGTTAAATTAACAGAGGGTATTCGCCAAAAGAAGCTGGTTTGTACATTTTACCATAGCAACAGATTGAAGTACTAAAGTATACAACCAAGGTTGACTCAGGCACATCGAGAAAAACACCATTTGCGCAGTTATAGCCATTAATGGTTTTAAGTTATAATCTATTAGGTGACTGGAAAACTCTAAGTAGCTCCTTGGCTCCCCATTTAATAGGGAATATGAATACCCCTGGCTCCTTGGCTCCCTCCTAACCTCTGGATAGTATAATAAGCTTACTTACAAGAATTATAGTCCCATGTGGAGGTGTCAGTACCCCTTAATCATCCATTTTAAGAGGATTTTCCCTAAAAAAAACAATCCATTTGGGGTTCCCTCATTTGTGGAAACCCCTATAAAAACCATCCCCCAGTCATCACCATTTTTAGAGGTGGTATGTTTACCATTCCCACATGGGTGGTAAAAATAGCATTGTTTTACCCACATTATATCCCATTAAATCCCATTGAATGACCACTTTTCATGGTGAAATCCCATTAAATCACATTGACCCATTTAAAAGCTGTTAGTTGGGCCATCACTTACCAAAAATCCTTGCGCCTCGGCGGCCGGTCGTCGAGGGAAGAGGCTGTAGCGGAGGTCCGCTGGATTGTCCACCCGTGCCACGTACCTGAAAACACAAGCGTGGGGGACGCAACGGGGGAGGGGTCGTGAGTTAAAGTTGGTTTATAATCATCACAGCTAGGTGAATTCTATGGTTTATAGATGTTTATATGTCGAACTAGAAGCAGAATTGGGGGGCCACCAGGCGACTTCAAAGGCTTCGGCTGTTCGCCAAGGACTTCCAAGTACCCGCGTGAAGTCACAGTCAAGGTCTTTGATGGTACTGCAGCTGTGGTACTTTCCGTACCTAGAGTGCGCCTTGGAACCCGCGCGCTTGGGATTGCACTATTGCCAGCGCACTTTCATGGATCCACGCCAATCATACTTTCTCTGAGCTTTGGTCGTCTTCTTCGTCCCCCAGCGCTAGACGAGATGGCCGCTATGAAACTGATGGCACGGGGCACCTTCGCCATATTGAACATTGCAGAGAAATATGAAGGTGAACTCAGTCAAACAGCTGGAGTCGGATCAAAACAATTATACTCCAGGATTTCGGGTGGCTTGCCACCGCATCACAACACCCTACAGGTTAACAATCATAACTGTTGGACTTACTATGGTACAATGTGGGGTGCCCTAGATAGCTAAGTTTGTTTATAACTCCAATAACTATGGTTTATGATACTTATAACTATATAGTTACTGGGGTTTATAAGCTAACTTACAACTAGGGGGGCCCCACATTGTAACTGTTGGATTTATAGTTAGAACCATTACAACTGCTGATGTTTTTTTGTAGGTTAGAATAATTACAACTGTTGGATTTCTGCTACGAGTAGAAACATCTACAGTGAGAAAATAGACCAACATCCATCAACAGGGCTACAAGGTGGTGCCCGCCCAGTTATAACTTGGTTTATAATCCCATTAACTATAGATATATCTACCATAAACCATAGTTATTAGAGTTATAAACAAACTTAGCTATCTTGGGGGCACCAGCT